GGATCCTTCAGGGGGTCTGGGTTTACAAGAACAAGAACTTGCATTTGCGCACTAAAGCTTCAGGGGCTTAGCAACCCTAGCAAACAGAATCGGGGGAGCCTCTCCGAACAGGCATAGCCTCAGGGATCATCGGTAACTTGGGAATCATTTGGGATCTCACGGGGGTCCCTCTCCAGACTCTGTTGGAGACGGTTTGGGAAACTTTCGAGCCAGGGGTCATACACCGGAAGCTTGGGGTAAGGACAGATTTTGGCTCGGAGACAGGGGATGGCCCGCGTAAACTCTAGATTCTGAATCCCAAGCTCTATTCAGCAAGCAGCCTCAGTAACCTTCAATTATTCATACTTGATGTTGCTTACGTTGTCTTTTCAAGCGCCAACAGTCCCTCAAAAAGGTATATCTGGGTGTACCAAGGCTTATACCAGAGCTGATTAAGGATTGTTACTGCCTAAAACGACACCCTAAGTGACTATGAATGCTACATGCAATCGGTGCGTGTACCCGTTTCTTCCCTCGACATTGTTGGGCTGCAGGCTCAAATGCATGGAGTCTCAGGGCGGCGAGTTGTTTTGGGGCCCCCGTGTGCTCTTGCATCCCTAAACCCTGAACCCTAACCTCTTGGGTGGTTGGGAGGTGCTTGTGGGACCACTGTTTGGGGTCTATGCCGAGTTTTTTTCAAGTGGTGTAGGGCATCCAAACAGGATCTTATCATCCCCATATACCTAGGGCAGCCCTCGTTTGAGAAGCCCCAGGCCGTAAACCCGATTCCCTAAATTCTATTTACCCAAAACCCTATGTATCCACATAAGCCAGTTATCCCCGAAGCTTTATCCCTATAAGCCGTTTATCCGATCTAAGCAATTTAAACTGGGAGATTATTATTGCGAGCTCACACGAGCTCACCCCGAAATATCGGAAATAGCGAGGTTGCCCGAAGTGCCTAAATAACGCACTCGCATGGATTTTTTTTTTCGTAGGTGGCAGAAGCCTACTACCATAATATTTTCTTGAAAGCCCTACTCTATAGTCTAAGCCAAAACCCAAGACCTGTCCAGAGTCCTCGAAGCGGAAATTCAGTAGCAGCTGCTTCTGCCACTGCTGCAGCACTGGTTGATGGAGGAAAGATGTCCCTTTTTGGGGCTTCTCTGGCCATAAAAAGCTCAAAAAGGATACATATTCGCCGCTCTGAGGGCGGACGGGGAGCCTAAAGAGTACCCTCATTCTGAGAACACCCCCCGCTTCCAGAGATAGTAGACCACAATATGGACCCCAACACGCTACAATCCTTGTTATGGGGACTGTTCCCCTAAACCCCCTAAATTCTTGCAAACCCCAAGAACGGTTACGGCTCGAGGCGGAAGCACCTTCGAGGGAAAGCTCGAAATTGACAAATGGGTCGGAAGAGGCCTTGTTTCAGAGAATTCAAAAAGTGGGATGAAGAAAGGTGGGTTAAAGGATCCCTATAGTAGTAGACTCCATTATGTTGGGGCTTATTTCCTATACCCCACCTTCCTTCACCCCATTTTTCATGCCCTCTGACATAATTAAGGGTTGAGGTTTGCAGGTTTAGGGGTGTAAGCTTAAGGGTTGTAGGCTTAGCGGTTTAAGGGTTAAGGGTTGTAGATTTGGGAGGTTACGGTGCCGGAATTAGATGAGTAGATTTAGCGATTCAGGGTTTAGGGCCGTGGTCAGAGGTTTGAAATACAGGGCTTAGAGCTTGGTTTCTAGGATTTGAAGCAAGGGCCTAGGGCTCAGGGGGAATTCCGGCTATGCTTTGTGGCGTTCGTGTTCGGGAGGGTTGCAAGAAGTGTATAGTTAGGGATTGTGGCAACGGTTGTGGCACTCCAGGTTTATGAGCTTTGGTGGTTCAGGCATGACATGTTTAAAAAGTTGTGCCCAGTAAAGCTGTATCTCAATACAGGGTTCCTTCATTTGTGCAGAAAAACAAGGTCCCCAAACCCTAAATCCCTAACCCTAAAACCTACACCTTAACTCTAAACCCTTAAACCCTAAACCCTAAATCCCCTTCCCTTTCCTCTATCCCTCCCTCTCGCTTCTCAGCAACATGCAAAATACTACCATCGCTTAAGCTGCGGTCTGGAGACAATTTATCCTAAGTGTGCAAATGCCTAACTAGTATATATAGTGATTGTAATTTGGGCCCACATGGGTTGGTACGTAGTGTCTTGGGCCCGAATTATCTAGTATTCAGGTGCTTCTTAAAGATCACCTCGCCCTGCGATCCGATCACAGATGCTTCGGGTGCAGTTTTGCGGAGTTGTACTGTTATCTTCATTGGCTATACCAGCACTCTAGGTAGCACCTTCAGTGAGAAAACCTTGCCACCTTGTCTCCCAAGTATGCATGGGTCTCTTGGTCCAGAAGCTGTGTAGGGGTTTGAGGTTGGGAATCACAGATGTCCTAGGTCGCAACGAGGTATGCATATAAATATAAAGAGGTTCAGCAGCAGCTCTTCGTGTTTGCTCAGGCTGTGTCATTCACCGTTCATGGATGTGAACCCATCCGTCCTAGTGAGGCCCTAGTAAGAACACTGCCATCCGCAAAAATGAATATTGCCTTAATATCTACTTGTAGTATATTGGGAATACCCTAAACCCCTAAACCCGTAAACCCTAAACCCCCAAACACCTAAACCCGAAACCCCTAAACCCTAAACCCCTAAATCCTACACCCCTAAACCCAAAACCCCGAAAACCCTAAACCCCCAAACCCCAAACCCCTCAACCCTAAGGGGGTGGGGTGGGGTGTTACATTATGGGGTGGGCGCGGAGAGATGATTCGCAAGGGGAATCATGAGTATCGGTAGGTGACGAACATGCTAGGGATTAAAAGCCTTAGGGTTTAGGGTTTGGATAGATGAAAAAGAAAATGGAAACTACTATAACGGGGTTATATGGGGTTTAGCTTTAGGTATAACGATCCAGAGTGTTGAGCTCAGGGTCTACCTGAACCAGCCAACGAGGCTCCTTGTTGGACTAGCAGATCAGGCTTCCGGCTGTTGATGGACAACATCTGAGAGGTTCTGAAATGGATGCGCGGTTTTGGGGATCTTCCGACCCTTCATGCTCACTCGTGAGAATGCAGACGATGATGGCCAACTTTCAGACCAAGACATGGTTGCTGTCTTTGATGGGGGATCGGGAATCCAGAACAGCTTCCACAACATCAATGGCCAGGCGATCAGGAAGGACATAATAACTTACTTCATTGCCTACTCGGAGGCGTCCGTGGCAGGCCCGGCCAAGGACATAAAAATGACGACCGTAGAGCCACACCTTTGAAGGACTTCGAGCATGGGGCTCTGTATTTTTTACTGCAAAAAACAAACTCTTGCCCTAATCCCTTAGGCTGGTGTTCACGTGGTCAGGTTGTTCACATGGAGCCAGAGAAGCTCGAAGAGATTTCGCGTCGAATATCTGAGATCCTCAGCTGCCCCTTCCTGTTTGTGAATGGGGGGTTTAGGGTTTTAGGGGTCCCTTTTCAGGAGTCCCTACGAAGGAGATTGGCATTTGAGACATAAAAGGGGACCCTCATTTTTGGAAAGCTACCAAAGGGTGTGAGGGGCTTATCGGCCCCTGAAACCCAAAACCCCTAAACCCCAAGCACACTTCAAGATGCAACAGGATACTGAAAGAGGATCTTAGATTGCAGTTTGAGGCGCATGGTTGCATAGTTCCCCCAGTTTCTGTCGTTAGGTACTGATTACCGTGAATGTATGTGGGAGTTTCTATGAAAACCGGCATGTATAATCTGGAAGCCCTGCTACGTCCTGCTAGGCTAGGCTTAGCTGGAGCTTTAGAGTTGTGATGTATGCTGTGGTCAAGATGTCGGTAGTCTGGAACAATCAGATCCCGTGGATGCCTATGGAAGTTAAAATGGAACGGTGAATTCCTAGTGCTGGAATTCCTCATATGGGCCATAACCTAAACTCCATAAAGGGAGCTTATATACGACATTAGATAAGGGAGCATTATAGGGGTTATTGAGGGGGATACTAGCTGTTTAGATTTCATATCAGCTGCAGGAAGGGTGAAGAAACCTCCGCCGATCTGCCCCGAAAAATCTGAGTGAGGCACTTGGGGGGTTTTGAGTATCTAGCACGTGAGTCAAGTGAGTACTACTTTATTTGGAGATACTATGGTACCCAATATAGAGCAAGATTATATCCTCCTTTTGGGCGTTAAGGAGTTTAGACTATAGTACATATGAGTAGTATTTTATTTGGGAATACTATGGTACCCATCATAGAGTAAGATTAAACATCCTCCTTTGGGGGTATAGTATTCTATATAGGGAATATTATCTTACTAGGCTCAACCACCAAAAAACACTAGTCAAGTGGAAGTCACGAGCTGAAGGGATCCTCCACGCAGAGCCCTTCACACGGAAATCTATAATCGACAACCTTTGGGTAGGGCATGCCCCCGGTTTGGGAAGCTGTTTTCTACGGTAGTTTATAATGTCTACGGGGGATAGCTCTGTTGCGCCCAGGCACTATCTTCACCCTTAACCCTAAGCCCTAAATGCTGGTCCACAACCTCAAGCCCAGATAGCCAAGGACCAGAACGTCCAAGTTCCAGGCGTTCATTATTGGCATCGCGGGTGGCACAGCGAGCGGTAAAACTACCGTCTGCCAAATGCTGATGCAGGCTTTAGGCCCCTGGGTTGGCGGAGGTTCTTAGGGTTTTAGGGGCTTAGGGGCTTAGGGTTTAGGGGCTTAGGGGTTTAGGGGTTTAGGGCTTAGGGGTTTAGGGGCATAGGGGTTTAGGGGTTTAGGGCTTAGGGTTTTAGGGGTTTAGGGGTTTAGGGTTTAGGGGCTTAGGGGTTTAGGGTTTAGGGGTGTGTAAGCTGCCTAATGGGTACGGTGTTTTTATCTTGAGAGAAGCGCACTTTCGTTAGGGGTTTAGGGTTTAGGGGCTTAGGTGTTTAGGGTTTAAACAGCTTGGGGATCAATGTGAGACATAGTCTAATACTCCTTAAAGGGGTTTATTTAGGGGATTCTTTTGTGGCTTAGTATGGGGGTGATGAAGGGGGATGCCATTCTCTATATGTCCCGGTTTGAATATGTCCCGGTTTGATTGTTCTAAACATCACCTTTTGGTGGTTCAACAGGGGTTGACAACTGCCCCCACAAAGTGATGTTTATTGGGGGCATCTAGGGAACCCTGATAGATGTAGGGTTGGTGCGGGTACCTTTACTGTGGTGGGTCCTTATCCTCAAATGCTGACATAGTTGAGGGGTGTAAGATGATGTTTGGGGTTTGGAGCTTTGGCGGGGTGAGGGGTTCAAGGTCTTGGGTCTTCCGAGTTTAAAGGGCTTGAAACCTTTTGATAAGCCAGGGGAGGCGCTGGGTCTTCAGATTTTAGGGTTTTAGAGCCTTGGAAATGATGCTCCGTAATAGTAGCCTCTGCAACTTCCAATGCGTGCCGCCGCTTTCTTTTCAGCACCAGCGAGAAAAATGGTGGCTCAGGGATTGCAAAAAAAAACTCCTGACGGTTCTGTCCATCTGGTGCATTGAGATCCAGGTTGCATCCTTGCATAAAGTTCACAGTTTGCTCCGTTGCTATTAAGCAACTTCAGCTAAGTTACAAAACGTATGGACAGATGGTAACTACAATTGTTGCCTTTCAATTGTAGCTTATTATTGTAAGTTCCTTGAAACGAGCCAGCTTGAGCTGTAGGTTTTGGGCTTAAAGGGTCTGCATCTTCTGAAGGGAGTCCGGGGCATACATGTCAATCCACGCTGCTTCCGCGCACAGAGACTGACATGACTTGCACAGTATTTATACGATGTGAGGGGTTCCGGAAAATTAACGTCCTTCTTTAATCTGCCTTAATCCCTAATCTTCTCTCCGAAGCCTTACATTCCCAACCATATCCCGGAAGCCCTCGACTTTAGCTTTAACTTTTTCTCCTAAACCCTAAACTCGAGAAAGCAAAAACCGTCAACCCTATCAACTTTGTAACCCCATGAACCCTAGAAACCCTATACACACCCTACAAAGCCTACAAAGCCCATGAATCCCAAACCCCCAAGAACCCTGAGCCCTATATACTTCTATAACCCCTATATGTCTCCTATTTAACCTGTATATATCCCCTACATATTCCTATAACATATCCTCTATAAGCCCTTTTACTGGGTTGCTGTTAAGGAACTTAAATTAAGTTACTATATTGGGGAAACCCTTTTATTTACTATGTATACCCATTATGGTAACTTAATTTAAGTTCCTTAACAGCAACCCAGTTCAAGGGTATCCCCTTAGTTTTTCGCTTGTCCCTAGACCTGCTGGCAGGCGATCAGAGGGTTGCCTTGATCAGCCTTGATGAGTTCTACAGGGATCTCACCCCTCAAGAATGCGAAGCTGGGCTTAGGGTTCAGGAGTGTAGGGTTAAGGGAGGTTGGGGTTGAGGGTTTAGGGAGGTTGGGGAGATTTGGGTAATCTACTGGTAGGGGTGTAGAAAAAAAGCTAGGCTTGGCCTTACTTGGGTCAATCACCACAGAATCACTAGTCAGCTAGCTTTTGACCCTATCCCCTCCAGGGGTGGAGGGGGTTTCGAATAAGGTGAAGTTAGGCCAAACGTTGAAGAGACTGGAAAGCTGTTAAGGAACTTAAATTAAGTTGCTTGGCATATATGGGGTTCCTTTTCATAGCAATGATAACAATTTTGGGAATAATTTTTGGATGGGGGTGGGATGTGTAGGTGTTTGAGGGGTTTCAGGGGTTTGGGGTTGGCCCAGTGTTGGATTTGAGTTCGGAGTAGAGAATTACGAAGCTTGAACACACATTGTCTAAACTCCTTGAAAGGTAGTGATATAGGGGATTCTACAGAGAAGTCTTGCAAGGCTTATTTAGGGCTTCGAGCCTGAGATTGAGGAATTCTGCGTGGCGCCAGGCATGCAGAGGGGGGGGGGGGTTGAATAGGGTTTAGGTAATTTGGTGCTGTTCCATTTGTGGGACTTTATTCAGGGCATGCAACTGCATCACCTGCACCTTCACTCGTGTACTTTGAATGTCTTCCTTGAAGTAGTAGTGCACGTCGTCCTGATCCAGCTCAGAGAGCCAAATTGCCCCGCGAAAAAAAGTACCAACCCAAGACAATCGTCGTGTTCGAAGCCCTTTCACTGGAAGGTCTAAAGTCCCCCTTGAGCAGGTAGGAAATGGAATTCCCCAAGTCCCCCCCCTTAAACCCTAAACTCCAAAGCATAATCAGATCCCCCATGTATCCCACGTTCCGTCTACGTAAGGGGGACTACGGGTCCCAAACGGTCTGACTTCCGGAAAAAAACACCAAATAGGAGCCACGAACCCGAATGC